AAGGAGAAAAAGCAGACTTTATTAGTTGAAATGATATTGAATATTGACAACTGCAAGTTGATCACTAATTGCGATCAGTTCTATTGTCTCCAGTTGTTCCCTTCTTATGATTTATGCTGATTAATGCGACCATTATTAGAGCCACTGAGTACACTGAGAAACATACTTTTGCCCATTTTGGTTCCTTTGCTCGCACATTGCTGTCTGCCGGCGGTGCCTGCTCAGCGGCACGTTGGCGACAGTGGGCAAATGTGAAATCTACATCAGGCAAAAGTGTGCATTGATGGATGGAGCTGCATTTGGCGAGCCATGTTCGTCGCGAACGTCAGGCAAATTAATCCTAATTGGTCTGCATTGCCGAACAATGCCTGCGACAACGGCGACGGTGCTGGTGCAGCAGTGACATGCTGCAGGCAGAATGCTGCAAAGAGCACCAAGAGCACTGCCAGTACTGTCAGCACTGTGGGCACCACTACTATCGGCACTACCATCATCATCATCATCATCATCAGCACACCAACAAACCATTTGAGCAATAGGATGTGATGGGAGTAGAGCACTGCTGTTCAATTGGCGCAGTGCATCGATGAATGTGTGAAGGAGGAGAAGATGCAGAAAGGACACCGATCCGAGACTGTCAGTTGATTGGTTACTCTGAGAAAAAAATGCTGATGCACCAGCTGTAGATAGTGTAAACAGTGCAGAAACACTGTGTCACAGAGAAAGAGAAACAGTTGTCAGTTTAGGTCAGAATTGGCCCTTATTGTTGCCGTACTGTTGACAGTCGTTTGCCGGGTACTGTGCATGTGCCGTCTGACTTGCAAATGAGGCAAATTAGCCAATAGAGCCACTTGGGGAAACACTGTCTTCAGTGTTCAAGCTGGCAGCAGAAACAACGAAAACAAACTCAGTCAAGTGCGATGTAGATGGCTTACTCTGCAACAAGTGAACAGGCAAAACACTACTAGCCTTTCGACTGAACAGGTTACTCGGCGCCCCGTCTGCTTTGATTGAGGGGGAATGAAAAGAGGGAAAGAGATGTTTGAAGTAAGAGAAGAAAGAGAGAGAGAGAGAGAGAGAGAGAGAGAGAGAGAGAGAGAAAGAGAGATATTGATGCCATTGAGCATTGTCTCTCTCCTTCTCTCTCACAGTAGTTGCCTTCATTTTAACNAGGAAAGAGATGTTTGAAGTAAGTGAGTATGAAAAGAAAGAGAAAGAGAGAGAGAGAGAAAGAAGAGAGAAAGCGCAGCAGTGCACACCATTGATCAAGTCCAACCACTCGTCAGTGGGTTACCTTCACTTGGTGTTCAGTTGCAGCAATGCAGCAGCCCATTTAGTGCGGGTGTTTTCCTCGCAGCCCCCACACAACTACCGCTGCATCGACTTGAAAGGGCAGACAGCTTTCACTTGATCATACTCAAGTCAATTATTTACCATCATCAGTACCCTCTTCTGCATTTCCTTCGTTGGACAAAAGCATTACCACATAGTAGCGCTCGTGAGCCGCAAAAACTGCAAACATCTGCGCATTTANAATCATACTCAAGTCAGTTATTTACCATCATCAGTACCTTCTTCTGCATTTCCTTCGTTGGACAAAAACATTACCACATAGTAGCGCTCGTGAGCCGCAAAAACTGCAAACATCTGCGCATTTNGATCATACTCAAGTCAATTATTTACCATCATCAGTACCCTCTTCTGCATTTCCTTCGTTGGACAAAAGCATTACCACATAGTAGCGCTCGTGAGCCGCAAAAACTGCAAACATCTGCGCATTTAATTGACATTTTGAATTTTTTAATAATGGCTATCTAACTCATGAGCACTGCTGACTACAGTTTAGCTAAATTGTGTTTTTTAATTAGCATTAAAATGAAATCTAAATTCTTTTGAACGATTTACATTGGGCAGATGGTTCGAGAAAAAGTGAATCATGTCAATCAAAAAAGTTTTTATGAAATATAATCTTGCCCTTAATATAATGTAATCAAAACAGAGTTTACAAATCAGTAAAACTAAACTAGAAGTGTACTTATATTAACCTGTTATTGGCATATTTTTTAAAAAGTAAAAATTAAACTTGTTATACTTTTAGTTCCACACAATTTTGTATTGTAAAATCAACAGTTTTGCTGACAAAACTTGTCAATCAATTAAAATCAAATCAAACTGCCTTGTCAATGTATCTATTTTTCAAATAATAATATTTGCCTGATAGAGGTTCTTATCTTGACTTGGAGAAAAGTGAGAACAATGTTTGTCTGACTGTTAGCATCTGTCACCTGTCAAACTATTTTTAATCACATTCAGTTTTTCAAATTTTTTAAAAATATTTAATGATTTATTTGCTAAACCAATAGAAACAAAGTTTTCAAAACTAAATAAAATAATAATAGTACCNACTATTTTTAATCACATTCAGTTTTTCAAATTTTTTAAAAATATTTAAGGCCTTATTTGCAAAACCAATAGAAACAAAGTTTTCAAAACTAAATAAAATAATAATAGTACCTGTTCGTGATAGTTTTTGTGAAATTGAAGATGCTGAAAGTTTTGAAGGCAAGTTTTGGCTGATGTTGAAAGCCATCGTTGAATCAAAGTTGGGTGAGGTATTTTGGCTGAAGAAAAGTCCACAAGAAGGGTGAGTCTCTGAAACATTTTGAAGATGCCATTTAGTTGCTTGCTGGCAATTGTCTTTTTGGAATAATTGGGCAGCCATGATGCAACAGGTTGTATTGTACTGACAATTACAAACACACAAACGCACGTTTTGTTGTCGCAGAAGAGCACACTTTTGCCTCAAACGGTCATGAACCGCGTTCAAGCGTGCAAAGTTAGGCTGCTGATTTAAATTCAAATGAGCGTTTCTTGCTTGTCAACTGTGTATTGCTATACAGAACGTAAAAATCGCTTTTTCATGTACTAACACCTGATGTAGATTAGCATTTAATAATTTACTGGTAAATAATAATTATGAGGACAGTATCGCGACAAACAATAAAAAGGATTTTTTGGTAGAAAAGAGAAATGATAGTCACGACGCTGACGAACAATTAGTTACTTTGAATAAATAAACTTGTTCAGTCGATGCAGGGTTGACAAAGTTCATTTGCCAAATCTGGGGNAGTTACTTTGAATAAATAGACTTGTTCAGTCGATGCAGGGTTGACAAAGTTCATTTGCCAAATCTGGGGAACAAACGGCACAGTCGATAGAAGACAAATGAATCTGTCAATTTGACAAATTAAAGTCACGAGTTGTTACACCAGTAGTTACTACTTTTATCGTTGTCGATAATAAATTGTCCAAAAGTAGTATTGGTATTGTTGTTATCTGCAGCCAAAAATATATAAGTAAAAGTTGATGAAGGGGTCACTTGGCTGTGTGCTGAAAAAATGACGAACATTTCTGCCAAAAGACGAAGGCATGCTCAACAAAGAAGAACAATGTAACAGTAAAGAAGAAAAGTATTTGCCCTAGTATAGTGTTTACATGCCTGATGACGTTAATTGATATGGAAGTACCACTACTTCTATCATCATCATNACCAAAAGACGAAGGCATGCTCAACAAAGAAGAACAATGTAACAGTAAAGAAGAAAAGTATTCGCCCTAGTATAGTGTTTACATGCCCACTGATGACGTTAATTGATATGGAAGTACCACTACTTCTATCATCATCATTCGATGATCTTATTTCTTGTTGCCTTTGGTATCGTAAGATATAAAATTTATCCTCTTATCACTGTAATGTCTGCAAAGTAGTGTGTCAACAAGTGTAAAGAAGTGTGTCAAATTTCCTTACGCAAGTGAACAAGTCTACAAGTTTACACTTTCATTTTCATACTTTAAGGCAACCGTCACTCGAACTTTTTAGTTTTTCACGTCTCTAATAATTTCTATATGAAAACAATTTTTTGCGTTTTTTTACAACCGATTTTATCTGGAGTACCTAAAATTTTGGTTTTGGTTTTAAAATAATTTTAAAGACTTTATCTTAAATCGTATGGAGGGGATTTGGAAAATATTGTTTTTTACTATATTTTTCATTGAGTTGAAGTTGCAAAAAACACGTGTCACAACTTTGATCGGTCATTAAAAAATCCCAAAACAATATTTTTCAAAACCCCTCCATACGATTCAAGATAAGGTCTTTAAGATTATTTTAAGACCAAAATCAGAATTTTAGGTACTCCAGGTAAAATCGGTTGTAAAAAAACGCAAAAAGTTGTTTTCATATGGAAACTATTAGAGACGTGAAAAACTAAAAAGTTCGAGTGACGGTTGCCTTAATTCTCTAATTTCAACTTTAGCCATTGTTACTTTTTAGCGTGGCAATAAATGAACAACAAAAAAACCACTGACGTTAGATTCTATTTTGAAGCGTACTTTTTTGACAGTTTTATCAGTTAGATAAACGGTGTGTGAATAATTAGCGTAAAATCATCAATTTAGGATACATTTATTGATTTGGTGCACAATCAACTTTTTTGNGACAGTTTTATCAGTTAAATAAACGGTGTGTGAATAATTAGCGTTATTATTAGTTTTGATATAATTTAATCATCAATTTAGGATACATTTATTGATTTGGTGCACAATCAACTTTTTTGTGTCACTACTTTAGTTGGAAAATGTTTGCAGTGATAACACATAGTTTTAATCAGTTGTTTAGTTTTTTAAAATGCTGCACAGTAAACAAAAAATATAATTATTAATTTTCAAATAGTTTAATTTGATTTAGTTACCTGTGAACTTTTAAACTCATTGTAAAGGCTAAACATGAGATGCAATGATGCAATTTTGTTAGATTGCACTGGAATGTCTAGGATAGCTATTCGAAACAATGATTTTTAAATGAAAAATGATTAACTTTTTATCAAAAACTGCTTTACCGCATAAAATGTTGATGTACTCATCGAGAGAGCAGTCCAATTCAGGGTTAGGAATTGAGTGCACTGTCAGCGCGTTTTCCAGTTCATTGTGCCACTCCTGCATCAACTCTTCAATGTCTGGCTTGTGGTGAGTGGACATCATTGTCACCGAGTCGGGTCGTGCCGTTGTCTCGTGCAAGTGTTTGATATTCTCAATCCAAGTGTCAATCTCCTGTGCAGTGCCACTGGACTGAACTACCGTTTCCCTAAGTGATGAGTCCTTTGATGAATCAATCTCTTTTGAGACTGCTTTTAGTTTAAGTTGAAGTAGAGCAGCATCGCTTTGATTAATGCTCGGCTCATCGAGCACAGCCAAACCGAGTCGATTCTCAATCGTTTTATCTGGATACGGAATCTATATTTAAAAGTAACAATATTTTAGTTTGTAGTTTGGTAACAATTAGTTTACCTTGATGAAAGCATCTACATCGCCCACAGCCGGTATGTAGTCAGGAATAAATGGCTTCAATTTAGAGCTTATTTCAATCATTTGAGGAGTGTAAAAAGTTATAAAGGAAAAGAGATTCTTGATTTCTGCCGGCACTTGCAGTGACTCGTATTTGCTTGGGTCATAGGCACTGCATTAAATAAATTGAAATGTTAAACAATGATATTAAACTGATACTGCTGCTGTCACACCCTTCAAGCTGTGTCTTTTCATCTTCATCTTTGTCACCATTGGTGGAGGCACCTTCTTCATCTTCCTCTTCCTCGTCCGCCTCCTCGTCTTCCTCGTTATCGAAGTTATTTTTCTCTATTTGCGGTGCTTCCATCCTGACACGGCAAATTCACTTTTAGATCTACCATGTCATCCGTTTGTGTTTGTTGTCCGCACTGTAGGTTGCCTTAGAAACGGCACTTCTTGATTCGAATGTGCTTAGTATTTCTCCGGAGCACAAGATGGCGAAGTGAAATTGAAACTTGAATGGAAAAATGGCATTAAGCACGCTTTTCACAGTCAAAGCATTTTATGCAGCCTTGAAATGGCTGAGAAGCAGGCATTCATTTACATAACTGTGCTGCCTGCACGTTTTGCCTGCCAGTTAAAGTGAAGGGGTAGCAATGAAGCGTCAATTACGGGGGCAGACAAGGAAGAAAAGAAAAGAAAAAAGAAAGAAAGAAATAATGAAAAAATAAAACAATTTTTGCCTCTGACAAGAAGCCCAGCTGAGAGATATAAACACAACAATTGGTCATAAATTAAAGTACACACACAGTATCCACCGTGTCAGCAGTATCAAAGGCGACCTTTTAGTGAGTGTATAGAAATGGCAGGCAGCGCGCTAGCTTGCTTAGCCAAGATTGGTCTCAATCCAAGGCTGCCACTTTTACTTGATGGACTGCTGGAGTAAAAAAAGTTTCGTTGCTTTCTATGTGGAAAAAATACCCTTTGAAATACCCTAAGAAGTTTGTTGTTGATGTTGAAGAGATTTTGCTTCGGTTGTCTGCATCAAGATAAGGGAAAGTGCTGAAACTGCTCTTCGGTAGCAGTAGGTTACATCTTTCTGAATTGGAAAAAACACTGTCAGTCCGCCACCGCCACCAGCACAGCCAGTGAAGCGGCAAACACGTTTTCATGTGCTGTGTGCTGCTGGTGCACTGTTCCAAATATTCGTCTGCCAGAGCCTGCTGGCGTACTCTTCAAGGTTACCCAGTTGCAGATAATTAAAAATGCGTCGTAAGGCGGCAAGTAGCATCGCTGTGGAGCCTGCTTCAGTGTCCATTTATAAATACTAAAGTGGTGCTTGATTTACTGAACGGCAGTGGTGTGTTCGAGTGAGCGAGTGTGTGAGCATCATTTTGACACTGCTCTGATAACTGTACTTGTCCAGTGCCTGCAGTGCACCGCTGCAGTAACCTTTACATTGTAGGCTTTCGGTGTTTGATATCTCGTTAGCATACCATTTAAACAGCTTTGCAGAGGGCGAACCTCGAGCAGTTAGCTGGCGCCATCAAATAGACACTTTCGATTTGTCAGACAATTTGTCGGTGCTTGACAGAGACGGTGCCTTTTGAGCGTGTAGCATCACTCTGGTCATCACCGCCACCACCATTGTAACAACAGTTGGTCTGGCACCATTTGCTGCAAATTGCATCGTCTCCGACTGGTTGCCCAGTGACGCCTTTGTCCGCACAATCTTTCCGTCTGTTGTGCTGTAATGATTAATATTTCAAATTTCCATTTGCCGAAGTCTGCTAATGAAGAGTGCTGCTGCAACAGGCGCCAGTGCCACTACCAGAGCCAATTCATCCTCTACTCAATAGGTGAGGTGCTTCGAAACGTAAAGTCACTGAGGTAAATCGTGTCTTTAGCTACATGTGAGCGAGCGCCCACCACCACCATCGCTACCACAGCCACTACAACAACAACTGACTGCACCAAAGCGTTTAGGGAGGGAGGAAGAGAAGCACATACAACACACACATGCACACATGCACCGCGTACAGCCATCACCTTCGTGTAGTATCGAACAAAAAGAACAACCGTACAAAGGTACGGTTTCGCAGTCAGTCAAACTTAACCCGTGCTTTGCCTGAAGAGGTGCTAGTTGTAGACAAGCAGCCTCTCTCTCTCGCTCTCTCTCTCTCACTCACATAAACAAAGCAGAGCAGCAGTGCCTTCCTATCAGCCTATCCCTATACAGTGTTTAATAAACCGTTCGTTGTTTGTCACCTGGCACCTGAATTTGTCAATCTCCAAAGTGCATGTTAGTGTAGGTTCACCACTGTCGAATGTCCTCTATCCAGCGCTGGCAATTACTTCCACATTCCTGGCGTGCTATGGTCTGCGCTGCAAATGCCCTGCAACGACCACTGAAACGAAGGCAACCACGAATTTCCTGACGACCGACACGACAAATTAAACAGCAGCAGCAGCAGCAGTACCATCAGCAAATTCGATTCACCCAATGTACGGCGAGTGCAACAACCCAACAACCAAAAAGATCATCACCACCCGGAGATAGTATCCATAAACAAAATTCGTTTCCTCCAGGAATTAGAAGCAGCCAATCAGCGTCGAAAGGCAAACTAACAGTCAGCCAATCAACACTAAAAGCAACTCTTGCTTCGTTCATTACCTCTCTCCAGCATTGCCAATTGATGATCCTCATTACCATCAGCTTTCTGATCATATTCATCACCCGTTAGCTCGCCGAGCACACCTCTCTTACCAGATCTCTATTCGCTTTTTGCTAGTACACACTGTCGTTGCTTTCAACCGAGTGGTGAAGCCAGCTTCAGTCAACTGGTGAGTCACATTTCAATTTATCAGTAGTATCAAAAGTGTGTTTATGTGGTGCACTTTTGAATCACTTTGCTCAACCTGTCGCCTTGATCGCACAGGGCAACGACGTTATTTCTTCTTATATCACCGCTACTGACACTGAAAAAAACTGACGCAACGGCACACACACGAATAAGATCAGTTGAATGCTCTCAAATTGAAACATTGCCTCAGTGCTGTCAACGCAGTGCCCACAAAAATATCGATTTGTCGGTTACCCAGCAAAGCATAACAAGTGACAATAACAAAGGCACCAACTGTGAAACGCCACTTTGGTGATCCTAATAGAAAAATCGTTGGCGCCATTCGTCAGTCTGTCCACAGGCACCACTTGTCGGTTTGGTGCAAGCCGTGCAACCGCATTCCGGTCAGTTCGTCATTTGATGCCATTGCCACTCACCGTTTCATCCTCTCTCTCTGACTATCTACACAAGTCATCAGTTCATTGACCATCACCATTCACCTTTACTGCTCCACATTTCACTCTTGTCGCCGAACATTTCCCCNCACCTTTACTGCTCCACATTTCACTCTTGTCGCCGAACATTTCCCCTTGTGTTCTTCTGTCACCTGTCCACCACCCTTTGCCGTCGTTCAAATCATTCGCACAAAGGCACAACAAAATGATGTCGCCAAGCAAAAGTAAGTTGTACTTCCACTGGC